CACCACCTTGTCATTAAAATAGAATACTGCTTAGCCTTTGTTGGGTGCTCAGTAAACGGTCTTATCATTGATACAAGATAGTCATCAAATACTTCCTATTGTAGTTTAAGGTCAATTTCCCTTTCCACTCTTCCTCAAGATGCAAAATGGCTATATTTTTCTTTTATGGTTTCAAAACTTCACTAGAGATAATACTAATGCTAAATTTTAACCTGTTATATCTGCATCACAACTTTTATTATATGAAAGTAATTGATAACGCTATTTATACTTGTCTTTTGTCTAGGATATGCTCACCAAATCTTAATTCTCTTTAAAAGACAATGGCATACGTCCTATCATATCTAACTTAACAGCATCAATTTTAAATGCTGAACCCTTTATGTACTTATGCATTATATTTATAAGAACATGTCTATTGCCTGGCTCAGTGGCTCATGCCTATAATCCCAGCAGTTTGGGAGGCCAAGGCAGGCAGATCACTTGAGTCCAGGAGTTTAAGACCAGCCTGGGTGACATGATGAAACCCCATGTCTACAAAAAAATACAAAAATTAGCTGGGCATGGTGGCGCACACCTGCAGTTTTAGCTACTCTAGGTAGGCTGAGATGCGAGGCTCGTTTGAGCCCACAAGGCAGACGTTGCAGTGAGCTGAGACTACACCACTGCACTGCAGCCTGGGTGACAGAGTGAGACCCTGTCTCCAAAAGAAGAAAAAAAATAGAATATGTGTTATACATGGGGACTCCTGCTTCACTATAACTGTCTTTAAAATGTTTAGTTAAAATAGTTTGTTTTTCTTCTTTTTAAAATATTCTAAATATTCAGCAAAGAAAAAGAACCAAAATCACAGATTTTAACCTCAAAGAGCCAGCCTACAATAATGAATAAAATACTGGATATGAGGGCTGACAAATTTGGTATTTGAGCAGCAAACTAAGGGATTTCTAGAAAAACTCTATATAAAACGTACACAGGTACATGGGCTCTCCAGAGTAACTGCTAGGTATGCTTCTGAATAGTGTTGGGGTAAAAAAAGAGAGAGAGAAGATGGTAAGGATACTCATAGCAGACAGGAGAGCCTGAAATGAAAGGTAAATGAATTTGAAAGGATGGTTCATTCTGGTCCTCCATCTTAGAAAGCAAGCTCCTCTTTACTGTCTCCTGCACTAACAAACACAGTCCAGCCACGAGAGAGCGGCATTTTGTAGTTGCTTCTTTCATCTACTTCAGTCATCTCCCTCAACTTCTTCATTTCGCCTACTTCAATCTTCTACCCTGCCTTCTTGCTAATTATATAACTACCGATTTTTTCAGCTGTTTATTAAGTTTTCTTCTTTTCTATACCTTCTCTAGTCAACTGACCTTCTTTTCTCTTTGCAGCTTCCTATAGTTTTGGTTTTTTCTCTTTTGTTTTATTCTGTATTTCTTTGCATTGCCTTTTATCTTATTCTAAATTTCCTTCTCCTTTTTATTCCCCTGCCCAATGTTGTTCTTTCCCTACAGAAAAAATGTTGGTAGTTCAGGTACACATCACTTACATATTTTTTAATGTGTATGCTAAATAACCAACCACACTAGTAATAACACTGGCCTCACTACCTCTGGGAAAAAAGCTAGTTTTTTTTTTTTTTTACTACTGTAGTCCCTAATATTCTTCTTTTAAATCTTTCTTCACCTTCTCTGAACTATGCTGAATTGCCATCATAGAATTCTAATACAGTTTCTATTATTCTGATGTAGCAGATCCTAGGAGGATAAAAAGCTAACTGAAGAGTGGGAGAAAAGATAGGTAAAAATGGAATTTCGTTTTAATAATGCCATTAACTGTTAAGTGACAAGTGAAAATCTCACACAAGGAAGGTTCCACCAAATTCCTACTGACATTAGAGGATATGAATCTATCAAAATCCATCTTACAAACTAACCTGGGTTTATAATTGTGTTCCTGCTTAGGCTCTTTCCTTCTCTAATGCCTTTTTCAGCTAACTATAAAGAGGAACCGTATGGTTTCCTTATTTTAAGCAAAGTCACAAAACAGGAAACATTTTTGGCTAAAGAATTCATGGCCTATATTTTCTGATGATTTGATTAGCATTAAAACACATTTTAAAAATGAAACTCTGAAGAATAACATTTTCTAATGAAGCCCTCGCCTTTTTTTTTTCCCTTTCGGTAATCTGTAAGAATAATGGGTAGGAACTGCATGGATGATGACCATCTAAACATGATTCAAATCCCTATATCTATGCCAAAAGATCGATATCAAATCTTTTGTAAAATGGATAAAAAGCAAAATTTATTAACACATATTTCAATGTCTCTGCTTATATTCTGGTAGAAGTACTAGTAAAAGGTAAAATGGAAAGGAATTAAGAAACCCAACACAGGTTAAATATTTACTGTGCTCCTAATATACAAGGCATTATACTGCAGAGAAATCAAAATAGAAAACATGAGGCAATACAGGGTATTGGAATGTATGCTTTGGAATCAGATGGCCCTGGGTACAAACTCCCAATCTGTCACTTGGAGTGGTATAACATCAGGCAAACTGCTTAACTCATTTGATGTTGTCTCTTTATCTGTAAATAAAGGGTCTCTTTACCTTCTTCATAAAGTCATTTAAAGGTTCAATGAAATAAAGTATGCAATACTGGGAAAGTACAACACACAGTACGCTCTAGATAAGTATTTTTCTTTCTTTTCTTTCTGCCTTCTTCAAGGTTCTTTATAATCTTGTTCAAGGAAGTAGGTATAAGAAAATGTGAAAAGTAATAAAAAATAAACACAATTATTTAAGAGAATAGATGCGTGAGTGAGGTACATACATGAATTATGTAAGGAACCATAAAAACAATAAATAAGAGCTAGGGGGATTCAGCAAATGACTGACCTCTTTGGGCTGTACTCAGTCACACAGAACTAGGTTAAGAAGGGGAATTTAAACTGAGTTCTGAAAGATGAGGACAGATTCAGATAGGCACCCAGAAAGAGGAAGAGGCTAGGTTTGGAAGAAAAAAAAACACCCTTGAGGAGAGTAAAAAATAGCATAAAAGTGTCTGTTTAGGGGGTAAAAAGCATGTGTTCAGAAGTCTGTAAGGTGGGGAAGGGATACGTTTGGCTGGATAAGAAGTTTCAGTCATGACATGTGACTCTGGCCTGGTTAACTCAAGCCAAAAGGAAAAAAACCTCAATTTAGAAGTTTTATCTTAACAGGCCAGGTACAGTGGCTCACGCCTGTAATCCCAGCACTTTGGGAGGCTGAGGCAGATGGATCACTTGAGGTCAGGAGTTTAAGACCAGTCCGGACAACATGGTGAAATCCCATCTCTACTAAAAATACAAAAATTAGTGAGGTGTGGTGGTGCATGCTTACTGTAGTCCCAGCTACTTGGGAGGCTGAGGCACAAGAATCACTTGAACCCAGAAGGTAGACACTGCAGTGAGCCAAGATCATGCCACTGCACTCCAGCCTGGGTGACAGAGTGAGACTCTCTCTCAAAAGGAGAAAAAAAAGGAAGTTTTATCTTAACAGAAATAGAAAACCCTCAAGCAAGGGAGTAGTAACCTGATCATGCATGCATTTAACATTAACTCATCAGCAGTGTGCAGGAGAGTTCAAAGGAGAACAGTTTAAAATTTAGGTTTGAAGTATTCACATAAAAAAAAAATCACATATATTTTCTTCTACTAAAACAGGGTCATTTATTATCACTGTGTACCCAGTGGTAGAGAAGTAAGCAATGAAAACTACTTAGATATGCTGAAAGGTAATTTGCAAAACCTTTGCACCTTCCAACAGACCGTCAAATCTCTAAATATAGGTTTATGAGTCAGTTTCCAATCACGTATACCAATATCTAACACCCTAAGATTTTCTATTCCCTAACATTAAGAAATAACCAAGTCATTGCCATTGTCTTTGATGATGTACAAAACAAGCATATTAAACTAAAAGTTGAAAATTGTCTCAGTAGAACTCCTCACTTTAGAGAAAAGGCAATTGACAACAGGAAAGGTTAAGCAACTAGTTCTTATGGTTAGATAGGTAGTTAGATGGGAGAAGTAGAACTGGAACTTAACTCTCCAAGTTTTAGCATCTACCACATCCCAGAAGAAGCCCTACCTGCCAAACTTACACATGTGCCTTATTTTCTTGCACCCACATTGTTGCTCTCCCTGGCTGGAAATCTGTTTAATTAGTTCTTATAGACCTTTCAAAATTCAGTTTAAGTTTTGCTTCTCTGAAGCCTTCCTAGGCTAAGTTAACTTCTCTGTACATCTCCTGCATACCTTTATGAGAAACCTTATCAAATTACTGTAATTGGGCCAGACTCACACCTGTAATCCCAGCACTTTGGGAGGCCAAGGAGGGCGGATCACCTGAGGTCAGTTCTCTACCAGGCTGGCCAACATGGCGAAACTCCATCTCTGCTAAAAATACAAAAATTAGCCGGGTGTAATGATGCGTGCCTGTGATCCCAGCTACTTTGAGGCTGAGACAGAAGAATCACTTGAATCCGCGAGGTGGAGGTTGCAATAAGCCCAGATCGCACCAGTACACTCCAGCCTGGGTGACAGAGTGAGACTCTGTCTCAAAAAAGAAAAAAAAAATTGTAATTATTTTTTAATTTTTATTTTTGAGACAAGTCTTGCTCTGTCATCCAGGCTAAAGTGCAGTGGTATGATCTTGGCTCACCGAAACCTCTACCTCCTGGGTTCAAATGATTCTTCTGCCTCAGCCTCCCAAGTAGCTGGGACTACAGGTGTGTGCCACTATGCCCTGCTAATTTTTGTATTTTTAGTAGAGATGGGGTTTCACCATGTTGGTCAGGCTGGTCTTGAACTCTCAACCTCATGATCTGCCTGCCTCGGGCTCCCAAAGTGCTGGGATTACAGGCGTGAGCCACTGTGACTGGCCTATTGTCATTATTTTTTACTTTTTTTCTTTCTTCTTTTTATTTAGAGATGGGGTGTCACTATGTTGTCCAGACTGGTCTTGAACTCCCAGCCTTAAGCAATCCTCCCACCTTGGCCTCCCAAAGTGCTGGAATTACAGGCATGAGCCAGCACGCCTGGCCATTACTGTTTGCTTCTACCACTAGAATCTGAAACACTTGAAGGCACTGACTATTTTTTTTCTTTTTTTTTTTTTTTTAATCTCCTAAACCTAGAACAGGGCTCCACACAAACGTGTTATTTACCAATAAATGAAAGAAAGCAGCAGCAGGACTACTTGACCAACGGGATTGGATTGACTCCACCAGATTTGGAGATCACTCTAGGATTTTAAGACTAGGACTCTCAGTTGAATTTAATCCTTTAAAAATATACAATCTTAACATAAGGCTACCATGCTGCAGAGACACTGAGGATGCTGCAAAGCTTACTAATACATTCTGTGCCTAAGAAATTTGGTGGTACCATTAACAAACACAGAGAAGTTGGGTAAAGAGTCAGTTGTGAGGGTATAGACGAATTCCATTTTAAATATGTTGAATTTGCCAATAGTGGGATATGTACATGGAAACATCCACCAAGAAGTCATACAAATAGAATTAGAACAAAGAAGATTTAGGCTGGACATGAGGTTGGGAATTGTGGCATAAAGCTGAGAACTAAAATCTTATAGCATCAGGAACAAAGAAAACTAGGTAAGTTTGAGGACTGAATATCCATTATCCATACTTAGGAGGCAGGAGAAAAAGAGCTAGTGAGAGGAACATGAAAGGAAGACTGATTACAAAGAGCTACTCGAATATTAGAGAAGGAATAGTAGTGTCTAATGTGGTCAAGGAGGGGAGGGGAGAGAAGAAATAAAAAACAATTGGATTAAGTAATAGATGGTCACTGGTGCTCTTCAAGGCAGGAGAATCAATATATTCCTAGTAGCAAAGATGGAGAAAGGTAGAGAACCCATGGACTCGGCATACAGAGCCTATGCATTTTGAGCAGTATGACTGAGGTGAAGGACTGAAATATAATGAAGCTAGAGGGGCAGCAGGGCCAAATACAGATCTTGTATTAATAAAAGAATTAAAAGAGATCACAGCTTATGAGGTCCAAATGCTGTATGATGGGTTAGTGTATATCCAAGAGTTTTTACACCAGCCTACAGTGTGTCAAGTCTAAATTGGGAATAATAACCATTAATCAACTACTACTAATTAGGAATAATGTCTACCTACTTTATGCCAGGCATTATAATGAAAAGTCAAAATTTTAACTAGACACCAATGACATCTAACTGTCTTTCTCTTTCTTTCATTATAAACCCATTATAGGTAAGGAGAAAACATTCTGAAATGGATCCCAAATATTTCATCTTAATGTTGTTTTGTGGACACCTGAACAATACATTTTTTTCAAAGACAGAGACAATTACAACAGAGAAGCAGCCACAGCCTACCTTATTCAGATCATCAACGTCATATGTCTTAGCTAATTCTCAAAACACAACAGAGAATCCTTTGGGTCAATCAACACAATTCAATGACACATCTTCTGGACAGTCAATATCATCTGCCAAAGCCACTGCTGGACAACCAACACCAGCTGTCTATACTTCTGGAAAATCAGCAGCACATACTTCCGCTGGACAACCACTTGCCTATAATACCAAACAACCAATACCAACAGCCAGCAACTCCTCTCAGCAACCTGTATTCACCTCTGCCAGACAACTACCACCATCCACCCATATTTCTACCACACAACCACCGCCATTTGTCTATACTTTCACTCAACAATCATCATCTGTCCAGAACCCTTCTGGAAAACGAATACCACCAACTGTTCATGATCCATCCACACAACCAACATCAACTGTCAAAAATTCATCTAGGAGTACACCAGGATTTATCTTAGATGCTACCAGTAACAAAAAAACCCCACAAAAAAACAATAATAATTCAACAGCTGCCATACTAGTTGGTGTACTTCTGACTTCTATGTTGGTAGCTATAATCATTATTGTACTTTGGAAATGCTTAAGGAAGCCAGTTTTAAATGATCAAAATTGGGCAGGTAGATCTCCATTTGCTGATGGAGAAACTCCTGACATTTGTATGGATAACATTACAGAAAATGAAATACCCACAAAACGTACCTCAGTCATTTCACTTACACCCTGGAAGCCAAGCAAAAGCACACTTTTAGCAGATGATTTAGAAATTAAGTTGTTTGAATCAAGTGAAAACATTGAAGACTCCAACAACCCCAAAACAGAGAAAATAAAAGATGAAGTGAATGGTACATCAGAAGACAGTGCTGATGGATCAACAATTGGAACTGCTGTTTCTTCAGATGATGATGCAGATCTGCCTCCACCACCTCCCCTTCTGGATTTGGAAGGACAGGAAAGTAGCCAGTCTGTCAAACCCACAATGATAATTGTATCTCCTCTTCCAAATGATTCTCCTAGTCTTCCTCCATCTCTGGACTGTCTCAATCAAGACTGTGCAGATCATAAATCTGAAACAATACAATCATTTCCACCCCCCACTGACTCACTTAACTTGCCCCTGCCACCAGTAGATTTTATGAAAAACCAAGAAGATTCCAACCTTGAGATCCAGTGTCAGGAGTTCTCTATTCCTCCCAACTCTGATCAAGATCTTAATGAATCCCTGCCACCTCCACCTGCAGAATTGTTATAAATATGACAACTTGCTTTTTAGCTGATCTTCTATCCTTAAATGACTCTCTTTTGATTTTTTTTATATGTTAAAATATATAAAATGGCAACTGGCAGTCATTTGATTTTTATTCAGGAACTATCTGAAATCTGCTCAGAGCCCATGTGCATAGATTTTTTTTATTTTTATTATTATTTTATTTTTTATGAAGGAGTCTTGTTCTGTTGCCCAGGCTGGAGTGCAGTTGCGTGATCTCAGCTCATTGCAACCTCTGCCTCCCAAGTTCACGCAATTCTCTGCCTCAGCTTCCCGAGTAGCTGAGGTTGCAGCTGCCACCACACCTGGTTATTTTTTTTTTTGAAAAAAAATTTTTTTTTTTGAGATAGTCTCACTCTGTCGCCAGGCGCCAAGCTGGAGTGCAGAGGCATGATCTCAGCTCACTGCAACCTCCACCTCCTGGATTCAAGCAATTCTCCTGACTCAGCCTCCCGAGTAGCTGGGACTATAGGCGCACACAACCACATCCAGCTAATTTTTGTATTTTTAGTAGAGACGGGGTTTCACCATGTTGGCCAGGATGGTCTTGATCTCTTGACCTTGTGATCCGCCCACCTTGGCCTCCCAAAGTGCTGGGATCACAGGCGTGAGCCACCACGCCCAGATTATTTTTTGTATTTTTATTAGAGACGGGGTTTCACCATCTTGGCCAGGCTGGTCTTGAACTCCTGACCTCATGATCCACCTGCCTTGGCCTCCCAAAATGCTGGGATTATAGGCATGAGCCATCATGCCCAGCTGAAACTTAAAAAAAAAAAGTTATTTAACAGTAATATATTTACTAATTATAGTACTTACCTTTAACGTATACTACATTTTACATATGTAAGTGGTCTGTGTTTCAATAATTTTTTAATCACTCTGAAACAATCTACATATACTTACTATTGCCCAGTACAGTTTTCTATTCCTGAAAAGCTGTGTATAAACTTATCATGAATAAATAAACTTCTATGTTTCCATTTCAAAGACTGGGGTGGAGAGGAATAAGAGACTAAGTATACACTCAAAGTTTTAAATTAATACCTCAAGTATTAAATAAATATTCCAAGTTTGTGGGAATGAGAGATTAAAATGCATGATTGAGAATAGAGAGATTTTCTTCTTGGTTTCAATGGAAACAGTAAAACAAACATGCTAAAACATCAAACTGAGGGTTTGGGTTAGAGACATCTATCCTGAAAAAAATAGGAGGATGCATCATAAAATGTAAATATTTTCCTATCATGTTGAGGGAGGACAAATTTTAAAATTAGCATCTTTAAAAAGTTTCTTTATAAGCACCCAAAATCAAGTTTTATAAAGAAAAAAGAAAGAAAGAGAAGACTATGGCTTTCTTCCAAATATGGGTGATTTGGGTGATTTTTTTTTTTTTTTTTTTTTTAGGAAAAAAGACTATCAAAACACAGATGATTCTCAACTTTTTACCAAGCTTTACTTTCTGACACCATCCATTTAAACTCTTAAATCACCTTTCTTACGCAGAATTTCTTTATCCGTTATCTGACATGTCTGAGTTATTAGAGTAGGAATGGGCCCAATCTTTGTCAAAGTCAAAGTGGTCATCAGCCTTTGCTTTTGGCAATGCCAGCCTGTGTCTGCAGAGGTGCTCCTTTGCCCAACAAGCACATACTCTTCCTCAATAGTCCCATCTAACTATAGGGGAAACAAGCACTTAGAATAAAATGTGATGGCCAGGTACGGTGGCTCATCCCTGTAATTCCAGCATTTTGGGAGGCCAAGGTGGGCGGATCAAGGTCAGGAGTTCGAGACCAGCCTGGCCAACATGGTGAAACTCCGTCTCTACTAAAAACACAAAAATTAGTCGGGTGTGGTGGCAGGTGCCTGTAATCCCAGCTACTTGGGAGGCTGAGGCAGGAGAACTGCTTGAACCTGGGAGGCAGAGGTTGCGGTGAGCCGAGGTGGCGCCACTGCACTCCAGGCTGGGTGACAGAGCAAGCCTCTATCTTGGCAGGGTGGTGGGAGCAGGGAGTGGTAGAGTCTCATTGGTAGCCCAGTTTTGGGGAATCACTTATAGTTCTGGGATTTTCAGAAGAGAACATAGCATTTATTCATAGCACTGGTATTTGTGACATTAATAAAGCTCCATATTTAACAAGAACCAGTAGGGTTTTGGACATAGGAATTTTATATACCGTGTTTTTCCTATAATCCTTCAAGCCATCTCTACTGATCTTTAATATTTTTTTAATCTGTAGAAACACTTCCTTGAGCTTCTTACTTTTCCTGAATAAGCATGATACTTATTGTAATATTACATCTCTGTCTTCCACATTAAAAAGTTTCTTTCATGTATTCTTCAAACTTAGTACTTTTTTTTCTTTCTTTTTTTTTTTTTTTTTGAGATGCAGTCTCAGTCTGTTGCCTAGGCTGGAATGCAGTGGTGTGATCTCAGCTCACTGCAACCTCCGCCTCTTAGGTTCAGGATATTCTCCTGCCTCAGCCTTCTGAGTAGCTGAGACTACAGGTGTGTGCCAAAATGCCCAGCTACTTTTTGTATTTTTTTAGTAGAGACAGGTTTTCACCATATTGCCCAGTCTGGTCTGGAACTCCTGACCTCATGATCTGCCTGCCTTGGGCTCCCAAAGTGCTGGGATTATAGGTGTGAGCCACCACACCTGGCCTAAACTTAGTACTTTTAAAGCTAATTTCCCCAGTGGCATTCTGGAGTTGAGAATTTCCTATTATTCTTTTGAATTTTAAGAATTTTTATTCTGGTAAATAAGATACAATGTTTTTATACTTGGCCAAGTCTTTGATATACCTTAAATCATAACTCTTCTAATTTTACATTTATGACAGTTACCTAATGGGCTCTTTCCACATTTTTGTCCCTTTTTAACATCTTCTTTCCTCAAAGAAATACAGGGAAAAATACGGAAATACCAATTTTTTTAGATAAAATGGGAGCTGATTAGCTGACTATAGTCTTGTCTGTTATCTTTAAGTACTTTAAAGGCAGCTTTTCTCTTTCTGTTCTTTGTAAAACAGGACAGACTACTGGCAGCAGCTAGGTTTTTATGTTGTCTTTTTTCCTTTTTTTTTTTTTTTAATAAGAAATTCTTTACTGGGGGAAGAAGTCACATGTAGCTGCATGTAATTTTCCCCATCGAGGTCAGTGGAAGCTAAGCAGTCAAACAGTGGCGATCATTGCTTAATCAACAGGAAAAGACACATGCTAATAAATACAGGACAAAAGAAAATGCTGGAACAAAGAACGTATTTTAGAGAAAAAGATTAAAGAACTAGGATCCAAAAGAGAAAGTTTATTTCATGAATACTGCAAAAGAACAAGGCACAGGAGAATAAAAGGTAGATTAAACTTCACACCATATACTAGTGGTGCTCTTAACCAGAACAGCATTAACCATAGTCAGACACAACCCTGAAGACCATCTGGTTCAACTCCTTTTGTTTGTTAACTGCTAAGAAAACAGGACCAGAGAAAGCAAGTGACTTGCTTAGAAGTGGTACTAAAAGCTGAGTTTGCTCTCTGACTACCAGTTCAACACTTTTTTCATGAATATAGGAGCAAAGAGCACCTATGTCATGCATTGAAACAAACATGTATCATACAAGTCTTCTATTTGGTGTGAGTGGTGAGGGACCCAATGAATTAGATGAGGGTGATCTTTAACTGTTGTTCTTACTTAATTCTGATCAAAAAATAAAGTAGCACCTTTGGGCACCTATACATAGTCATATACATGGTGGTACTGGTATATGACTAAACAGATCGATGAAACAGAAGAGAAAGTCCAGAAATAAATACCAAATCAGTGAGAACAAGCATTGGAACAACTGAAGAGATGTCTGGAAAAAGATAAAATTGGATCCATACTTCACACTATATTAGAATAAAACCAAGGAGCAGAGTTCTAAATATAAACCATGAAATTGTACAAGTAGTAGAAGAAAATATGAGTGAATTCTTTTATAATCTGGAAATGGGAAAAAACCTTCCTAGCTGAGACTCAAAATCCAGAGACAATAAAAAGGGGAAATCAATGTACATGAAATTTTTAAATGTCACACAAACACACACACACACCCCTCACCATAATAAAGCCAAAAGACAAATGGCAAACTGGAAAAAAAATTAACACTTAAGACAAAAGTGCTAACACCTCTAAAACTTAAAAAGCTCCTAAATATAGCCAGGTACAGTTGCTCACACCTGTAAGCCCAGCACTTTGGGAGGCCAAGGCTGGCGGATCACAATGTCAGGAGTTTGAGACCAGTCTGGCTAACATAGTGGAACCCTGTCTCTACCAAAAATACTGAAAATTAGCCTGGTGTGGTGGCAGGCGCCTGTAATCTCAGCTACTCAGGAGGCTGAGGCAGGAGAATCACGTGAACCCGGGAGGCAGAGGTTGCAGTGAGCTGAGATGGCGCCACTGCACTCTAGCCTGGGTGACAGAGTAAGCTCCTAAATATGGGGCAGGAAGGGGAAGACCCAAAACACAACTTTTTTTAATAGTGTAAAACATAAAAAAGAGTTACAGGAGAAAACACTTAAATGGACTTTAAAAACATATGTAAAGATATACACTACCGTTCATAATTTTTAGAGAGATGCATTTAAAATAACACTGAGATATTTGCCTATCGGATGGACAATAAATCCCAAAGTTCAACAAAAAAGTATATGGTGAGGCTATGTAGAACTAGACACTCCGATACACCATTGGTGGGATTGCAAAATGGTATAATCAATGGAGAGGAATTTAGTAATGTCTGGAAAAATTCCAAATGCATGTATCCTTTTACCCAGCAATCCTACTTCTAGGAATCTCTTTCAAAGATTTACTGGCAAACATATGAAATTATTTAGGCACAAGGGCATTATTTGTAATAGCAAAAGTCTGAAAAAAAAAAAAAAAACCAAAAAACCAAAAACCCAGATGTCCACAAATAGGGGACTGGTTGAAAAGGCTATGGTACATTCCCAAACGGAGTGCTATGGATCAAAAAATGAATTAGACAGATACCTATATACCGATATGGACTGATACTCAAGATACAGTAAGAAAAA